AGGTTTCCACGGTGTACGAGGAGTTGGTGTTGAAGTAGGCTTAGATGTCTCGTCCGTGCAAGGCGTTTCTGGAGTTTCCGTGGTTGAGGTGGGAGAGGTAGACTTTCGTGTGCTATGAGTTGGCGGATGTGTTGGAGGTTTCCACGGAGTACGAGGCGTACGTGCGGATGTTGGGGTTGGAGTACGCTTCGGTGTCTCATCTGTGCAAGGTGTTTCTGTAGTTTCGGTTGTTACTTGTGTAGTTGGAGTTCTTGGAGTGTTAGTGTTTCGTGTTGTTTGGGGTGGTTTCCTTGTTGGAGGAGTTCTAGTTGGTCTGCGAGTGTGGTGGGACCAATTACTACGTGTTTTTGCGGTGCTCGTCTTACCAGTTGTATCAGGTGTTCCTGGTGTGCCAGGAGTGCCAGGAGTGCCGGGTGTGCTAGGATATCCGGGTGTGCCTGGTGTTTCTGATCTGCCAGATGTGCCAGTTGTGTCAGTGGTACGTGGTTTTCCGGATGTAACTGAATGTCTTGGTTTATCAGTAGAACCTTCGGTTTTTGAGGAGCTGTCTGTATGGTTTATCCAAATTCCGGTTGTCGATGATCCTTCCCTGCAATCTTTTCTCGTCACCGCCCATGGATGATTACATCCTGCTATTTCTGGATCCCACACAGTTCCAGGTCTGCATGAATATTCATACTTTATTATTATTCCGTCCCCTTCTTCGACGCATCTATAGAATTTTTGGCAATCGTTTGGATCGGAAAGGAATCCGTCTTTTATACACTGAATTTCTCCCTTAGCTGTACTTCCGGACACTACAGTTGTTACTGATGGCTTGCTACTCGTAATCGATGGATTGCTGGTAGTCATCCCGTCTCTTACTTGCAGTAATTCCGTTGTACTTGTAATGTTTGTCGTATTTTTTGGTGGATTATTTCGGTCGGTACTGTGGTATGCGCACTCTGGTCTTCCACTCTCATGTGGCAATGTACAAATATTACCCTGGCGTTTCGAAAATACCGTCCCCGTTCCACACTCAAATATAAAAGTTGTCAAAGGTTTTCCATTGCCCCAATCAACGCATCGGTAGTAAACGCCACATTCTTCTGGATGATTATGGTAGCCTTCTTGGATACAAGTGAAACGATCTGTGCCTTGTCGTCTGTGTTTATGTTTCGAGGAATCATGATCTAATATAACAAAATTATCCGAATAAAGTTACATTCTGAATTACCGAAACTGAATTCAAAATTTATAATTTTTGCAAGACGTTGTGGTATTATTTTTCTGCGAAAGATTGGCGATGGAATGTCACGATATAAATCTATTCTGTATAGACGTACTACGCATAAAGAATTTTTCATCGGTAAAATTTCTTCAGATGTATTCACGGCTGTACGTCCCGCTCGAAAGGAGTTTCAAAACACCATCAACAATAACAATAGCGTTGTTGATGAACACGAAAGAAAATGAAAATAGTGGCAATGCCCTGTGGAATCTGTAGCCGCATCACGTTTCCTGTGAGGCGGCACTATAAATGGGCTTGTCGTGAGAATAGATAGTTCACGCGTTTCATAAAAGGATCTTCGCTGCGAACCTTTCCTGTCAATTGAATCGCGAACCGTGATGATTCCAAAGCACTTCTTCTTTGTCAAATGTCAATGAACAGAATCTTACCAGCTTCCGTAAGCGTCACCCAAATCAGTATTATCACCAGGCCTAATCTCCCTAGGCCGGTCCACATGGTGCCAAACTAGCCTGTCTGAAAAGCAAAGAATTCGCGTCGTTTAATAAAAAAACAACGTTACAATTGTCCATTAAGAACGATCCTAAATCTTCCATCGAATGGTACGCGATCTTATCTTAACGGAACAACGTGTGACGTAATCTGTTTCTTTCGTTTTCTAGGACGAGAGGCGTGGATTTTCCTCGGTTGAGAATTTCGCATAAAAGACCAAAGTTAAGCTACTGACGCACAGTTACTTTTACGTCCTGCTTGGCCCGCGTCCAATATGCAGCGACGGCCAAAGGATTCTAACTGTCAGGCCCCTTGACCTTGCTCACAATTACTCTATCATTCATCGACGATTCAGGATCGAACGATTCTCATTTCAATCTCGTCACCAACGGCTGATTTGCAATCTCGATCTTTCGGCCGACCACACGATCGTTCCGATATACACTATGTACATAATGTACACGTGCTGGAACTACGATTTGAATACCACCCGGCTGATTCTCTTGTACAGTTAACTTAGCATCGATTTCCGACACGCCATTAATGATTTAACGTGAAATCGGCGTTCCCGTGAGCTGAATAACACGAGCTCCGAGTGAATGAACAACTTCGTACTCCCTCGATTTGCATTGTAAATTAATCCTTTCCGTGACGAACTCTTTCTATACGGCAACGATTGCCGGATGAACAGTAACTAGTCTCATTTGGCGAACTGTACATGTACTTGAAGATTCTAACAACTGTCCGCAATCACCGGTATCGATTTCTCCGAACTACAATCTCTGGCCACAAAGGGCAGAGAATTCTTGACAGGCGCGTTGACCCCTGTCAGAAAGTATCATTTCGCGCATTCGTCTTGTCGCACGTTTCAAACGACATCACGCGAGCTCCTATGGTTTATCATGATGGAACCAGCAGGGAAGTAATTCTCCAGCTTGATTCGCGATCTGCACCCACACGCGAGGCACACGGAGGCCAGATATTTCATTGGCAGAGAGATGCATCGTTTGACAGTACTTCGATCGTTTGGAAGAAAGTGACAAGCCACGAGATTCTTATCAGATATTCTCGTCGTTCGAGTAAATTTAATCGCTCGAAGAGAAACGTTTCATTAATCATACACCTCTAGATGATCGTGAAATATCGCGATCTTTTACCGTGGATTTAGCCATCGAACATCGATTCAACTTCTGATAAATCACCGACCGTGGCAAACGTCGACGATTAGGTACCTTACGTTTCACCGTGATTAATCATCCCCGCTATTTATACGCTTCTGTTAGATCTACTGCTAGAGGTCCGTTTATACGCGCTTACGTTTCACCGTGATTAATCATCCCCGCTATTTATACGCTTCTGTTAGATCTACTGCTAGATCAACACGCAATACGAGAGTTGCACTGGATCCAGTGCCATAAATACCATTCGTTGATGGTACCTCGTAACGAATCGCGCTATGCACGACCTACGATAAATCGTGGACAGAGCTCACGGAACTGAGCACGACGGTGTTCGAGCGTGAATGCGAAGGGGAGAAAGCTTATTCGTTGAAATGGCGAATCTGACCGGACCGCGATACTTCTGTGATCCTTTCTCCTGCGGCTCGAGTGAAAAGAGAATTGCATGAACAGTGACATAACAGGGGAATGCGGTTTCTCTGAGCTCGTTGTCACTACGGCAATGGGGAAGAGAGAGCGCGGTGACACAACTTCCACGCGAAGTCAATGTCAGTGTCGGCGATCGTGACATTGAAATGGATCGTATTGAGAGTGGAGTTCTCTGTACTTCCTTTCTTTCTAGATCATTTTTCTTGCTCACTGTGAATCTGCTTCTTTGATCGACGAAGTGGATAATCGAGGATATTGAAAAAATGCTTGTTCAATTTTACGAGCAATTCTTAATAAATTAGAGATTAGGGTTTCCTTAGGGACGAAGCTTTTTTCATTGGTTGATCGATAGAGTTGATAATTGAGGATGTTGAAAAGATAATCATTCAATTTTAGGAATAATTATTCATAAATTAGAGAATAGGGTTTTTTTAGGGACAAAGCTGTTTTTTATTGGTCGATTGGTAATAATAATTCTGAATAATTTCTACTAAATTAGAGATTAGGATTTCCTTATGAACGAAGCTTTCTCTTATTGGTCGACTGATAATAACGTTCTCAATAATTCATTTACGTGAACTAGTAAATTACGCGTCGAACGTGGATATTTCGACGATGGTCCTATTTTCGAATGTGTGTTTTTGGATCTATGTAATTCGAATTCCTAGGTCGCGGATTTCTTTTTATCGCTTTTATCCACGTGACCGTCCAATGGCCCGTACGATTTGGGCGAAGCACCTTTCCACGTTGAATGAAACATTTCGTTCGGCCAGGGTTCAGGCCCCGTTCACACGAGATTCGCCGCCTGAATACAAATCAACGAAATCCCATGTGGACGACGGTGTTCCCGATCCGTCGAGAATCGCGCGAAAAAAGCAGAAGGATACGTTTCGTGTCGCGCATCCTAATGGAT